CCAAGCTGATATTTTTATTCTTTTCACAATTCGGTGCGGTTCATTCAAGACTGCAAAACAGAAGTTTATGGAGCAACATCCATGCATTCCGGTGGACCATTCCAGACTCCACTTCATTCGTTCCAGACTCCAAACCCGTGCAGGTAGCGCGAACTCAAATATAGCATTTTATAGAATTTTTTCTACATTGTCCACTCCAGGCTCAACTGTAATTATTTTTGCTCTACTGATGATCTCTCCCGGACTTCAGCTCAGTCCACACAACTCAGTCCCTGACCCAGCCCAGCTCAGTCCATCTGACCCACCCCGGCTGCCCGCCGCCCCGGCCGCGTGCCGCACCAGTGTCGATATTTCCTCCTTCTGCCCTCTATCTGCCACGGCTGTGCCCCCCGGTGACCGCCACAATTAGAGGCCGGCCACAACTGTAATAACAAAGGCCAACGCCATTAGCCAGTGCGTAGCAGCTGTAAAAAACGGTCCGCATGATATATTAGGCCGCATACTCCTGTCTGGACGGCGAATCTTCGTGATAAATGCTATAATTTTATTAGGATTGGGGAGCGGCCTATGCGGGGCGTCACAATCAGACTGTGAGGTAAGACGATGCTGAGTGATTGACTGAAAGAGAAGTAACGGCGTAGCAGGTGGGACCATGGGGTGGTGACTGAAGCGGTAGGAGCAGCGGGTCTGTTTGAAGCCCATGATTTTTTTCCATTTCATGTGACAATAGCGTATGGGGATGAGACGGTAGAGGTTCAGTGCCAAGAGTGGGTGATTGTCAAAGTTAGTGTGATCACCGACAAGTGGTTAAAACGGCTCATTAACATTAAACTTGGCACTACTAAAAATCTGGAGAGCAACGCAAAAGATTGAAGGGTTAGCCGTGTCCAGCTAAGTGCCAACGCTCAAGCAAGAAAAAAAATCCGCTCAATACACTTTTTATGTTTAAGTGAAAGAAGTACATACAGTTAATAACTCCAAGCACAAACCTAAAATTAAGGAAACTTTAATTTGTTTTCGAGCAAAATGTGTGGGCAATAAGCCACAGTATATCTCTTCAATATAAGTTATCCAAGTTTCGTGCATTGCAGCTGACTGACGTGAAGCACCGTCCCCGCGCCGACTTTCTGTTGATCGCCTGCTGTGTCCGGCCAGCACCAACCGGTGCGTTCCCGCTACTGACGAGCGCTGATACGGGCGAATCTCCGAACAGATCTGATGAGCTGACCTAAATACGACTAACGAATCACTCTCTGCCCGATCTAAACGAGCAGCTCCCCACATTAGGCGCCGAATTCACCCCGTCCATCCTGCGGCGGAGGCCAGCACCGTCGTCCAATACGCCGAATGAAACGGCCGCTCAGCAGCGACCCGCATGAATTGTTTAACGCCGGCCCAGTTTCAATGAGGAATGACTCAGTTCGGAACGTTATGTCCGCCCGGCTATGGGTTCGGATCGTAAAGAGCTTCATTTAACAAAGTCTCTGCATTGTGGCTCGCACGTAAATCGCCGCCGGCACAAATGACTAATCAAGCCGAGCCCATTACTTTGGTGTAGATGCGCCGGTAATTTGACAGGATCGCCCATCGATTGTCGAAACTGGTGCGCCGGCGCGTGGTCTGTGCGTCACTCAGCGCGGGCCTCAGGAGACGGGACGATGATTGTCTGAATGTTGATCATCTGGGTCGGGCCGGTAAGGGTCAGATATGACGGGATGTGAAAGATGCGTCAGATGAAAATATAGTGAACGCTGGAGATCGCGCTTTTGATGTGAATGGTCTACGAAGCGTGCCTAAACACAAGCGTAATTAAGGGTGAAACGCTGTATAACTGGATGCACGATGTGCACGATTGTAGAGCTTGCAAGCTAATGTTCCGTAAAGTGGGGCTATTTGAGACAGTGGGGCTATTTGAGACAGTACGGTATTGGTTTAGTAAAATAGCTGTAAAATTAAAACCGTTTGATATTTTTCATCAATTTTTGCTCAGGGTGATATAGAATTTAACGGTGAATTCCATGGATAGGATTTTTTGAAAATTTTGAAAAGTTTTGAAAGGACTTTGGCATTAAACGAGAAATACAGAAAAAACACAATTTAAGTTATACGAAAAGCACCCCTACCTGCACCTTAACATGGTTGAAGTTTTGAAAACTTTGCAACCGAATCTATCATAACTATCGTTTTACTTATGGGCTAAGCACATTTTTCATGAAGACATTATACATTGTTAACGGTGGTGACGATTGTGTAACCCAATGTCTCAGAATCCCGATGATACCCACCTCGTCAAACCTCAACGTATGCCAAATACAGCTGATGTTTGTGATGCCAAGGCCCTAAAAACAGGTGATATGATGCATCCGAAAAGACTTCCCGCCATCTGCCTAAAGTGTATCAAACGTTCGAACTAAGAAACACCGGTGAATCGGCCATGGGCTCATGATACTTTTAGCAGCAAGCAATATTTACACATCGTAGCTCAATGTGACCTTCCAGTTTGTGACGATATTACTTACCTCTGTGAATATATGCATAAAATGTGCTTCATCAGTCACTGACGTGGTCGGTAATGGCCCCATGTCTACTATGGTTGACCAGAAGGCACCATTGATGGTCATTTATCATACATACGTACTGTTACGTGAGCCTTTAGTACACGTACTTGATGCAGTGCGGTAGCCGGCTATTCGATACAACATGCAGTGCTCTAGGAAAATCGGTATAAAATAAAAACCGTTTGACCTTTTTCTGTTATTTCTTCACAGGTTGATGTGCAATGGAACAACCAATCATGCATGCCATTCATTCAACCATATTGAAAACTGTTTTCCCTTTTTTAATGCATTGCGGTGTGTTAAATGCATTAGCGAGCCTGTCTCAAATAGCCCCACCAACTTTCGGCCTATATGTTTTACGCCGCTAGAGACAAACACAACAACTTAATTTGAAAATTTCACTGTCGTTGACTTAATAATAGTCATATATAATCATCCTGTGATTTTTAAAGCTTAGGGTCGCATTATATTGTGACAGCCCAAGCATAAAGTAATGCAATTTTTTGACAGACCGAAATGCTATGTCCAACGAAAAATGAAAAGTTTGATTATGAGGGTTATATACCTGTACTTGAAAAAAATACTTTTTGCCACAAGTATCAAAATTAAATTTCCAATCGCATGGCATTAAAAGAATTATCCCTAGCTTGACCGATTTTCTTCAACTTCCTTGCAACTAAAACTGTCTCAAATAGCCCCACACTATGGGGCTATTTGAGACAGGCTTCAAGTAGAAAAATAAGTTTATTTATGGTTACTAGCTGAACCAAAATGGACCTATCTGAAAGCGGTTACAGAGAACTACGTTTTTACAATTTACATGCTATAGGAAATATCAACCGTTTTGAAGGGAGAGGCCAAAAACTGTAAAATCCGTTTCAAATAGCCCCACTTTACGGTTCATGTATTCGTGCCTTTCAATATCATTTTCTTGAGGGACGGAGATACGTTTCACGTGTCACGTGTTTTGCCTCTTTTCTAATTACGTAAGGGATTTTCTGGAGATTGTGTCTCGATGTATCTGTGGTCTGCACTGCAGTCTGCACCACGGTGACTATGAATAGTTAGTCTGCACTCTGTACTTCCGTCTCGCAAACCCACGAAGTGATTATTTCTCGCGTCCTTGTCTCCCTTATTTGTCCCGAGCTCGTGTGCGGCGCTGTTGTTGCAGTTGTGTTTGTGCGTGCTGGCACTCGCGGGGTGGTCGTGCGGCCGTATCCGGGCTGCGGACCGATTGGTTCCGGCCAATAATACTGCGGCTAACCAGGCGCAGGTGTGACCGATAGCCGATCAACCGACTAGCTATATAGTAGTAGAAAGTGATTATTCACAACACAGTTACAACAAGCTCGACAATCCTGGTTGGCGCTCATTGTGTTCTGTTCTCTATCTACTGCTTTCTAAAAAAAAAATCCACTGCGTTCCGTTCACAGTTTGTAGTGATCATCGTTTGGCGTTTGCCGCTCATAGCCGCGGGCGATGCGGGCCGGATGGTCGCTACTTCCGGCGTCGGTGGAGCCCCTCCCCAGCTCTGTTTGCTCAACAATGGCGTCGACCGACACAATTAAACAACAATCCTTCACGGAGGCGGCGGCCAGGGACGCGGCAACCCTATCATTTGGCTCCAAGGTGGCCGTTTTCACACCGGCGCGCCGCCATCAACAGGCGAACACACAAACATCGCCGCCTGCTCACAGAGCCTGTGGCAGCCCTGTAATCCAGTCCACCCACTGCCACCGCGGCTTCCCGGATTCTGTTCACGAGCTCCAAAATAAAGAGCGTTAACGCCCCACAAAACGATTTGAATGGACATGGCTGCTCAGAATACAACACTAGACTTAATGTCAGTGTAAATAATGCCCAGTTGTGTCGACTATTCGCCGCGACAGCTCTCCGCTAGGTTCGCGGCACGACGCCGCAGTTACGGCGCGGTGGGACGGCGGTTCGGTGGGCGGCTCTCGGGCCCGTTCCGTGGTTATCCCCGTGCCGCCCAGGGCCGCGCCGTGAGCAGCCAGTTAAGCGATTCGTTATGACCGTGATGAACGCCCACTCGTCGTAAACAATTAAATCATGGCGGCCCGGGCGGGCGTAGGTGGTTTCGTGAGCTGCCCGTCTGGCAGTGCCTGTTGGCTCGTTTGTCAGGGTCGGTTGGCGAAACAGGCGTGCTTGCCTTGTCGGCCGTAGCCGCTGTTCCGGCCGTGCTGTCAGGCAGCTCGTCAGGCTCAGACCGGCGGAGCTGCAGCGGGCGTCGATAACCCGCTTTGTGTCGCCGTCACCGCTGTCGGCCGGCTCCGCCACTCTGTTTGCAGAGATTTTCTCAGGCGGCGGCGGCGAGGCCCCGCCCCCGACTCCGCCCACCGGCCGGCGCCGACCAATCGGCGGCGAGCCGGCCGGCCGGGCAGATGCGCCGCCACTCTCTCGGGGTGCCGGGATGAGCGCCGCCGCCGCAGCCGCTGCGCCGCCGCCGCCGCCGCCCGTGCCGGCAGTATCCCGACGGAGCGCGTGCGGGCGGCTGGTGACGCCGGAAGCAGCCATGCCTCGGCCCACGCGAGACACATACGGCGACCAGAAGCCGCCCTACTCGTATATTTCGCTGACAGCCATGGCTATCTGGTCGAGTCCGGAGAAGATGCTGCCTCTGTCCGACATCTATCGCTTCATCATGGACCGATTCCCCTACTACCGCAACAACTGCCAGAAGTGGCAGAACTCGCTGCGCCACAACCTTAGCTTCAACGATTGCTTCATCAAGATCCCGCGCCGGCCCGACCGGCCCGGGAAGGGCGCCTACTGGACCATGCACCCCAAGGCGCTCAACATGTTCGAGAACGGCTCGTTCCTGCGCCGGCGGAAGCGGTTCCGACTGGACGGCGAAGAGAAGGACACCCTGGCCACCGAGCTGCAGAACCTGGCCAACACGCTGAAGCGGATCGAGCCCAGCTTCGAGCCCGGCTACGGGGCGCCGTACGCGCCGTACCCGGCGGCGCCACTGCTGCCGCCGCCGCTGCCGTCGGCGCCCGTCAGCTTCAGTCCGCCGGCGGCGGCGCCGCGCGCCGAGCGACCCAAGTCTTTCACTATCGACAGCATCATGTCCTCGGACCGCGACCGGCCCGAGAAGGCGGCGGCGGCGGCGCCCGTGTCGTCATCGTCGTCATCCTCGGCGTCAGCGGCGGCGGCGACGGGCGTGATGGCAGCACCGGCGGTGTCGGCGGCTTCAGCAGCTCGGCTGCAGTTCCTGCCCTACCCGCACCCGCTGCTCGGCTACCCGCTCGGCGGTGAGTTCGCCGGCCAGCCCATCAAACCTCTGGCCACGCACCCCGCGCTGCTGCAGCCGCGGCTGCCGCTGCTGCCGCCATGGGCTCTGCTGGCCGGCCCGCCGCCCGGACCAGCTGCCCTGGACCTCGGCGCCGCGCTGCGCCACTCTCTGGCCGCCCGCAGCCTGCTGTACTCGGCGGCGGCCGGCGTGGCGCCGCCCCCGCCGCCGCCGCCCCCGCCCATGGCGGCCGCTGAGCTGACCCGACCTCAGGTCAGCCCGGCACTGAGACCGGCCGATCCGCGACTGGGCGCCGCCGGAGAACAAGACACGGAGGTGGATATCGTCAGGTAAACGGGTCGGAGCGCATCCTGCACCCCTTTGAGGTGCGCCAGTCCTCGCGAGAGCACCTCTGTCACGCGCCGGGTCCTTTTGTTGCAGTTGCACGGAGCTTTCTGTTACCAGTTGAAGCGTTATTTAAAAGGATAATTTATAAATGTGCTAGTGATGTTCCTGGGTTGACAGAATGGCTCCAGCGGCCGGGTCGAAGCCTGGACAATGTCCAGTGAGTGTGGTGTTTATTGATGGTGTCAAAATCTATGGTACAATGTACAATATAAGTGGTAATCAACGTTGCCGAGTTTTATCTGGAAGCAAACGATGCGGACGCCTTAGCTTTAGCGTAAGTTAGTCATGCCTGAACAAGGAACGTAACTTGCGAACTTCAACATTCATAACAGCTGTCGGTATGGCCACCTTTGTAATTGCATCAAGACCTCTCTGTAGGTGCTTCTTATTATTTGCAAACAGATTCTCCATACTTTATTTCAAATGTAGTCTTCACTCTTCAAAGCTTCAAGCAATACCTATATGGACTGGGCGGTTCATGAAAACACCACTATACAATGCCTTTCCAGCATCCAGTGGAGTTGAGTAGGGCGGGTATTTACCGCCGAACATCACCACTCTCTGCGGTTTATATCGAGTTTAGACAGCCATGAGAACTGGCCGAATTCATCCGGCCACAAACGGCGTAAGCCAGTAGCTGGCAAAACCATAACTTGGCCACCTCACCGCAGCCATGGGCCGGGATACAGCAAACGACGTGTCTGTCAGCCACATTGTGATCGGTGGCGTCTGCGGTACACAAATGACGATCCATTATGACTTGGTCGGAGCTGCTTTCAACAAGTTCTACCTGGTACAATGACTTGTTGTTTTGGAGCGTCAGCCAAGGCTTTTGTTATTGAGTGGCATAAAGAAGCACACGAGACATTCATGCATACATTGCTGGGAACAATGAACAATGCTCGATGCAAACTTATAATGGAGATGTTGGAACATGCCATGTAAGCCATGGTTGTCGAAATGCCCGACACGAAAACTTTGGCTAGATTAGTGGAATCAATTAGACGGAAGTGATCGTTTATTGGTTTCGGAAGTCACGCAGCTAGGAGTCATAAAAATAAATTGCGGTTAGTTAAACGCAGATCCTGAGCGCATCGTTGTAATGCAGTAAATTTATCCTCTTTTCAGGGGTAAGAGTGTTAACAGATATAATTGATGATTTCCTGTTCCTGAATAGGTTAACTTGATGTAAACCTAGACGGCACCGGGCACCGTGCCTCCCTTTGATTTTGGCATTAGCCCTATGGGCGTTGCGTGGAAAGAATGGGACCAAAAGTCGGCAGTGCCTCCCCCCTTAACTGAAGGTGTTCCGCCGCTACTGGATGAAAAGGCAGTCGTTTTCCAACATTTTCACTTTTACTTGCTGTCAATGTATCAACAGATTTATTTGACAGCAAGAGCTGACTGCGCAATCCGAATTGTACAAATGCACACAGTCCTAAACGATGTATGTTCGCTTGGGAAGGAATGCAAGTATTCGATCCCTTATGCACAAGCAATGTATATGTAGTACCACGGTAGTACCTATAATCTGTTTGAAGCGGAAGAACGCAAGGACTTGTACAGAAATTTAAAGTTGTAAGTTTGAGGATGTCAGTTCTCACCTTTGGAGCTTCAGGTTCCATTGGTATCGACGTTTCAAGGTTTGCTTTAGCAGTCCTTTAAAGTTTTAACAAAGTCTCACTGCTATTTCTTTGGCGACGCTGACTGATGGCGGTGGAGGAATAGCCATCGGTGTTGACCAGGATGGCCAGCAAGATCTAAAGACCTTTTGGTGAAATATCTGTCACCTGATGATGAATTTAAAAGTTAAACACTTTATAAGCATCTCTTATTATTTAAAGCCTTTCTTTTTGCCCTCAAGATACTCATCCATCGGCATCTATTTTAAAGTAACCTCGGTACCTAAGCCTACCAGGGAATCATGGCACGATCTATGCTTCACTATCAATATATATTTTCAACACCAATGTCTAGTACATTATTTCGCCATTTCAGATTCAGATGTATTCGAATAAGGTCCACAATAAACGTGGCTTTTCACTCATTCACGTCTTATGTAGAGCAGAAAGGGAAGCTGGAACACAAGACACTACGGCCACTCTCATTCGTACACATACGCATTCACGCGGGCGCGCGCGAGCGCGACGTCAAAACACTGAAGCTCACAACGACATAGCAAATCGCTTCGCTTCAGCCCGAAAAGATGGAATGCCGGGCTCAATGCGCGAGTTATTAATGAGTGACATTCCGCGATAACAGAGTCGCCGCCTGCCTGCCTCAACTCGGATTGTTGGTAGGGTATAAAGATCAGCCCGTCTGGTGTCATGATAGACAGTGCCGCTGACGCTTTCCATGTTCGGTTAATCACTTTTTCCAAAACACTGAAGCGTCTAATTAGTTAAATTAAAAATAATATTTGCTTCGTTCCTCGCTTAAAGAGGAGCAACTCTGCACGAAGCACGCTATTGACGGAGTCGATTCGATGGACGATGGACGGTGGGACGGTGGTCGGTGGACGGTGGACGGTGGACGGTGGACGGTGGACGGTGGACGGTGGACGGTGGGACGGTGGGACGGTGGACGGTGGACGGTGGACGGTGGACGGTGGACGGTGGGACGGTGGACGGTGGGACGGTGGACGGTGGACGGTGGACGGTAGATGGTGGACGGTGGACGGTGGGACGGTGGACGGTGGACGGTGGACGGTGGGACGGTGGACGGTGGACTGTGGTCGGTGGTCGGTGGACGGTAGACGGTGGACAGCGGACGGGGTCTGGTCGACCGCTGCCGCTGCTCCCCGCCGCCCGGTACAGCACCGGTCGGCGGTGGGAGCTCTGCAGCTCCCCATCACACCCCTCTCAGCCACCGAGCACGGCGATTGCCACGCTCTCTGTGCGGTCGGCCGGTGGCGACTTTCCGTGCCGTACTGCCGCGGCGTTCACGGAGTGGTGAGACGATGTTTTACAGTCTGCCGGCGCGCTCCTCGTTCAGCGCCGCTCATGCATGATATTGGAGTGGCCAAGTCTCATTTCCGAGGCTCGGCGCCGCGGTCAGACGGTCACACCCTGTCCGGGTATGTCCCCGCGCGCTGGAGCGTCTCCATGTGTGGGCGTGGGTACCTATATCTTCCTATGCGCCGCCAATGTATGGGCGCGGGACATGGGATGTGAGTGTTGATGTTATATATTTCTTCCAGACTTTTAGATTTCTGTTTCATGGTCAGACTCAGCATATAAACGTATATATAGAAAAGCCTTCGGCGAAAGCATTACTCATCGACTCACAAGCTAACGGCAGAGATGAGAGTAGACTTGCCTCATGGTATGGATATTGGATAAGCTGACTGACACGATGCTCAAACTCGATGAACTCACCTGCCGCGAAGCTCGGAGTCCCCTGTCGCGATCCGCCGGCTCACATGACGTGATGAGCGGGTGTGCCGTACCACCGCTGTAGTAGTCAGCTCGTTCCTCAGTCCCGGTGTCGGGCCGTGGCCGCGGGTCGGGCCCGGGGCCGTCATAAGGCACCCGCCCGCCATTCAGGCGCGCCGCGCGGGTCATTACCGAGCGCTGCACCAAGCATGGCTGACCCGACAAATCAACCCGGCTTAATTTAGTCGACACTATTACTGAATTTACAAGGCTTTCACGTGTGCCCGACGAGGCGCTTGGTTCTTTACAAAATCCAACAAATCAAGCCAACTAACCAAGTAATAAAACCTGCGGCTGAATAACGGCCGGCCGGCACGGATGTGTGCGAGCAGAGGAGTAAGGAGCAGCGCAGCAGAGGAGTAAGGAGCAGCGAAGCAGATGAGTAAGGAGCAGCGGAGCAGAGGAGTAAGGAGCAGCGGAGCAGAGGAGTAAGGAGCAGCGGAGCAGAGGAGTAAGGAGCAGCGGAGCAGAGGAGTAAGGAGCAGCAGAGCAGAGGAGTAAGGAGCAGCGGAGCAGAGGAGTAAGGAGCAGCGGAGCAGAGGAGTAAGGAGCAGCAGAGCAGAGGAGTAAGGAGCAGCGGAGCAGAGGAGTAAGGAGCAGCAGAGCAGAGGAGTAAGGAGCAGCGGAGCAGAGGAGTAAGGAGCAGCGAGCAGAGGAGTAAGGAGCAGCAGAGCAGAGGAGTAAGGAGCAGCGGAGCAGAGGAGTAAGGAGCAGCGGAGCAGAGGAGTAAGGAGCAGCGGAGCAGAGGAGTAAGGAGCAGCAGAGCAGAGGAGTAAGGAGCAGCGGAGCAGAGGAGTAAGGAGCAGCGCAGCAGAGGAGTAAGGAGCAGCAGAGCAGAGGAGTAAGGAGCAGCGCAGCAGAGGAGTAAGGAGCAGCAGAGCAGAGGAGTAAGGAGCAGCGGAGCAGAGGAGTAAGGAGCAGCGGAGCAGAGGAGTAAGGAGCAGCAGAGCAGAGGAGTAAGGAGCAGCGGAGCAGAGGAGTAAGGAGCAGCGGAGCAGAGGAGTAAGGAGCAGCGGAGCAGAGGAGTAAGGAGCAGCGCAGCAGAGGAGTAAGGAGCAGCGGAGCAGAGGAGTAAGGAGCAGCGGAGCAGAGGAGTAAGGAGCAGCGGAGCAGAGGAGTAAGGAGCAGCGGAGCAGAGGAGTAAGGAGCAGCGGAGCAGAGGAGTAAGGAGCAGCGGAGCAGAGGAGTAAGGAGCAGCGCAGCAGAGGAGTAAGGAGCAGCGGAGCAGAGGAGTAAGGAGCAGCGCAGCAGAGGAGTAAGGAGCAGCGGAGCAGAGGAGCAAGGAGCAGCGCAGCAGAGGAGTAAGGAGCAGCGGAGCAGATGAGTAAGGAGCAGCGGAGCAGATGAGTAAGGAGCAGAGGAGCAGAGGAGTAAGGAGCAGCGGAGCAGAGGAGTAAGGAGCAGCGGAGCAGAGGAGTAAGGAGCAGCGGAGCAGAGGAGTAAGGAGCAGCGGAGCAGAGGAGTAAGGAGCAGCGCAGCAGAGGAGTAAGGAGCAGCGGAGCAGAGGAGTAAGGAGCAGCGGAGCAGATGAGTAAGGAGCAGAGGAGCAGAGGAGTAAGGAGCAGCGGAGCAGAGGAGTAAGGAGCAGCGCAGCAGAGGAGTAAGGAGCAGCGGAGCAGAGGAGTAAGGAGCAGCGCAGCAGAGGAGTAAGGAGCAGCGGAGCAGAGGAGTAAGGAGCAGCGCAGCAGAGGAGTAAGGAGCAGCGGAGCAGAGGAGTAAGGAGCAGCGCAGCAGAGGAGTAAGGAGCAGCGGAGCAGAGGAGTAAGGAGCAGCGGAGCAGAGGA